GAAGAAAAATTGGCCGATATCGTTATCGTGATGCTGGAAACATGCTGGATTCTTTCCCTCGTGAAATTAATGAAAATTGGCGAGCAGACGTGAAGCGTCGCGTTCAACGCGTTACCAACGAGATGGTATCGCCATTCTTTCAAGGAAAGAACATTAGAAAACTTACGTGCTGAGTGGCGATGGGATCACATCTGTTCTGACGAACTGGGGACAGCTGTTCGTAAGGAGGTGACGGTGTATTGGGAAACCATATCGTTCCATTCAAAGCATCTGCACCGCCGTCCATGATGAATTGGAGCTCCATTCAACGACTTCAAATCTCGAAGCACTCGTGTTAGGCTTTTACTTTTCAGGCTACTACTACCTTTCCGAATACCAATTGTTTTGATCCTAATCACGATTATTATTCGCTCTTACCAAGTTCGAGTGCTCAAAGATTCTTTGGAGAACGCTTTGGTGGCCTATTTGGAAGAGAAGGCTATAAGTCCAATCTAGTTAGAACATCCACGATGAAATTTTTAGCATCAACTTAGGGACTTAGGGACTTCTCCTTTCTAAACGTTAACGTACATTCTGCAGGTGGATAATTTTCCCAGTCCTTTTCCCTTTTTCTATTTTTTTTTTTCGCCGCTTCTTTGTTTTCCTCGCTCAGCTCCTTCCTTTTCTTTCGTCTATTAACCAAAACGTCCTCCTTTTTTTGTGCGTTCTCCGCGTATTTTTCTTCGGGATCGACAATGATCTCGGAAGTGCACGGTGCATCACTCGACCACCGTTAGTAAAGGGCCGAACTTCCTTAAGGAAGAGTTATCCTTAGAACATTACGAAGAAGCTATTGTACAATTTCTTGATGCCAGTTGTTTCGCGTTGCCGATGCGTTTCTAGGAGTGCGCAACCCCGTGACTTAAGGGAAAGAAATCGCGAAAAGACGACGAACGCGTCCTCGAATACCATCGCCACACCTTGGCTGCAACGCATTTTGTTACTATTTTTTTTTTTTTTCTTGAAAATCTACGAGTTTCGCGAAAGAACAGCTATTTGTTACTTTCTCTCTCTCTCTCTCCCTCTCTCTCTCTCACACTCTTTCTCTCTTCTTCCTGTCGTATTATTCTCGATTATCCGAATAAAATGTTCGATGGAATGGAAGTTCGACCGAAACTTTTTCACTTGTTAGTAAGATGAAACTTAGATCAGGATTTGAATTTCTAGAAATTCTATTTCGTTTTATTATTCTCGA